CTGCAGGTGGCCTGGCTGGGTCTGCTCCCCTGGGGCCAGACCAGCTGGTGCTGGGCTGGAGTCCTGTGCTGCCAGGGAGCACGTGACAGACTGGAGTCCCATGCTGCTGGGGAGCTGGCGCCGGTCTCGTTTGGGCCCCAGGTCCTGCAGACCTTGGAGGGAAAGGAAACAAAGCCGCGGTCGAGCGAAAGCTGGGCTGGAAGTGGCGGGCTGTGGTAAGCAGTCACCCAGCGTCCTGCCGGGCCTGGCCTGTGTCCGCTCTCTGGGAATGCACAAAGGGAACGCGTTCTTGCAAGGGAGAAGGGAAACGTCTTCCTGTGTTTCTTGGTTACCTCTGTGGATTTTTTAATCTGCAGTGACTCTGTTTCACGTGTTTTGTTGATTTTGGGACACGTTATTTGTTGCTATGGAAATCAAGGTGGCGTTTTTCCCTGGACACAAGTGTTCAGACAGCCTGGGGCAGCGGTAAGAACCTGGGTTAGGGGCGGCAGCACAACTGGCTCAAGCTCTGCTGGGTGTCAGGATCTGTGTAACATCGGGATCTGTGGGTCGGGACAGTGCTGTAGCAACGATGCGAGGGGCTGGGGATGGGCACACACCCCGCTGTCAGGTTCACTGGCGGGATGGTCAGTGGCCCTTCAGGAGCAGCTGCAGGACCATGGTCCTCAGCGGCTGGGGGCTCCTCGATGTCCCATCACTGGCGCGGTGACCACCGCCAATGCCGGTTTCGAGGGCAGTGTTGTCTTGTTTTCCAACTAGACCTCGTATGTCTCTCCCAAGGCTTGGAAGTGTCATATCAGGACACATGATGATGTGTTCATTAAGCTCTAAATCACAAAAATTAATTGTTTGAGAGCACTGTTTGACCTTTAACCATCCTGATCGACCTCCAGGAGTCACTTGAGGCTACACTGACAAATCTCAGTAGTTGAGAAGTTTTTAACGCTTGTTATTTTTAAATTCTTCGATGTCTTCCCTGCACCCGGATCACAGATGGGAACCCCGCATCCTCTGCAGGCTGTGGTGGCCTGGTGACCCACCGGTGACACCTGGGTGCGGTCTCCACTGCAGCCCTGCCCTGGCAGCAGGCGGTGGGGACGGCAGCCGGGCGTTGTCGAGTGGCGAGCCAGGGTTGTGGGCGCCCTGCACAGAGCCTTTGGTTGTGACCGAGCACGCTGTCGTCTGCGGGGGCTGCACTCTGCACAGCGCTACGCGACGCGTGGCACGGTGAGATCGTGTCTCAACCTTCACCCTCCTCGAATTGTTCAACAAAACGATGCAAAGATTTCAAGTGAGTAAACTCAAACTGTCGTGGCTTGTCCTTCGCTTCCAGCTCTGCTGCAGACAGCGGAAGGATGTGTGCCGACCAAAAGCTGCGGATGGCTTGGAGAGGAAAAATAACTGAACAATCCGAGAA